TCTGATTATTTTCACCTCCCTGAGCCTCCTTTAGCTCAGTTAGATCTCTGAGGAGAAGCTTGGTGAACCAAGTTGCACCAAATACAGTAGCAAGAATTTTTAAAGATGGACATGATACAGTAGCAAGTAAATACAGTAGCAAGTAAACATTCAGGAATGGAATCCCTTTTTAACCAAAAGTTACATATCTTCATAGACTTGGAGATTTATGTATATTTCCTTGATAATTCTTAAGAGTTTCCTAATAAGACAGTAAGACTCCTTTCTTTCCTCCCAGAAACCCTCTTATAAAAGAATTAAAATAGTCACCTGCAAATTCCCAGTAGAACAAATTTGAAGAAACAGGAATAAATATTTTGGCCCATAGGATTGCCTACATTTGATACTTTAGGACTTTAAAAGCCTCAGGTTATCTTATGAGTCTCACTTATCTCCATGTAGTCTGATGACTAAATATCACTCAAAGCTCACACTTCTAACAATCTGAATTAAAATTCAGTATGGAAGTGATATTGTGCTAGGCAGAATTTTAAAGACATTCCCTCAACAGAGTAAGTTTTCTCCAGCTGACAGAGGAGGAGATGTCAGACTTGAAGCAAGAGAATGCCTGGATGTATGATTTGCTGGCTTGAGGATGAGAAGGGCAGTTCTGGAGGCTGAGAGCAGCCTTGGGGTCAGGCAGGACTCAGTCCCTCTGAGGCTTTCCCCAGCCTATATACACTTGGCAGTGCTTTCTTTCCCAGTCAACAGATAAGAGTCTGCCCAACCACCACCTTAATTCTGGCCTATGATGCACTGAGCAGACAACTCAAGCAAGCTTCCCAAATCCCTGTCCTACAGAACTACAAGATTAATAAGTACACAATTTTAAGCCACTAATTTTTTAGTGATCTCTTATACAGTAACAGAAAACTACTGTAAATATTGTTTTTAGAACCTTATTTTTTTAATAACAAAAGCACTACATGCTAATTTTCCTACCTTCATATTCCCCCAAATAAACAGCTAACAATCTCTCCTTTCTCTTTCCACAAATGCTCTATGAATATGCATGAGCACACCAGAGTGTATGTGTGTGTGTGTTCACTCTAAAGCACATGAACATGAAAAGACAACTTAGTACTTACAATTTATCTTGGGTATCTTTCCATTGCCACCACATAAAAGCTCACCATATTCTATATAACAACCAAGTACAGCTATTATGCCTGAATCATTCTACACATAAGCAGTCCATCACTGAAGGACAAGTTAAATAAAAAACTGGCAACAATTTTCCATTCTAGTTATAAGCAATGTTACAGTTAAGATGTTATTTCTGTGAGAATATCAGTAAGATAAGTTCGTTTATATAGATTCACTGGGTCAAGGGGTAAATGAATTTGAAACTTTAATCAACCCTACAAACCACTAACCAAATGGTTTTATTTATTCATATTAACACACCATGTAAAAGGGACTGCTTCCCTACATCTCTGCAATGTTGGGATTTTATCAATTATCAATTTTATCATTATGGGACAATGATACTATCTCATTACCCTGGTTCACTTTTGTTTTATGAGAACAATAAAATAAAATTTCATGTTTTGTGGGCCTTCTTTTTCATGACATGATATTCACACCTTTTGCACATTTCTGTTGGTTCATTCACCACTTCATATCAATTTAGACAAGCTACTTCTATACTAAGGCACTCAGAAGGGCAGTCATTTATGGATACACAAATACTTTTCACACTTCGTTTTCTTTTTATTTTGCTTATTTTATACAGATTTTTAATTTATGAGACATATACAGCCTTTCATTGGGGACTTCAGGATTGTATTTCATGCTTACAAACTTCCTGTAACACATGTGATTTTTCTACTTTTCTTTTTTTTCCCTTGGTACCAGGGATTGAACCCAGGGGCACTTAACCATCTAGGCACATCCCCAGCCTTTTTTTATGTTTTATTAGAGACAGGGTCTTGCTGAGTTGCATAGGGCCTTGCTAAGTTGCTGAGACTTTCTTTGAATTCTCAATCCTCCTGCCTCAGCCTCCTGAATTGCTAGGTTTACAGGCATGTGCCAGCACACCCAGCTTTACTTTTCTTTTTAAAAAATGTTCTGTCTACTATTCTTTTAGAAACCCCCGGCTCCTCAAATGTGTGTGAAGATCTGCTCCAGAATACTAGGCCAATATCTGTTTTTGCTCAGAGCATTCCTGATACACATACACAAATAATTTATGTGCCCATTTCTAGTGATCCATGTGCCACCGAGGGGTGGCTGGGCTCATACAATCCAGAAAAGATTACAATCCAACAAAGAACAACATAAAGCGTAGCTCTGAGTTCTAGACTAATGAGTGCTGAGAGGCAGTGGCTTTTCTTTCTCCTGTGTCCGAAGAGACATGGGAGATATTGAGGAATCCCCACAGGATAGAGACAACAGAGGGAGAGTTAGAGATGTGGCAGGTATCATGAGTCACAGCCACTGCCTGTGATCAAGACATGAGGACTGCACCTCAGTTTATATTTTCTTCTTCCTCCGCAAAAATAGGAACCTACCAGACTGTGATAAATGGCACTTCTCACAAAAACTCACTTGCACTGCCTCTAAGAAGCTGATGGCTCCACAATATGAAGAAAAATACTCTCACACTCTATGCAACAGGCTTCTCTCTGCCCACTTTCCCAATCAAGTTCAAAAATTAACACTGATGGGAAAATCATTTGAGCTAAGGACACAGAGAAAAGAAAAAATAATTAACAGAATCATTAAAGTCTTACCCACATTTACTTCCCTTTCCACATTAGAACTGAAGAAAATCACAGCAATAAAAGACTAATCAACGGTCACATAAAGGATAGTGAAATTATTGCTAAACACAACCAAAAGAGGAGTAAGATTAAATTTTCTCTCTCTCTTTTTTTTTTTTTTTTTGGTACCAAGGATTGAACCTAGGAGTGCTTACAACTGAGCCATGTCTCCATCCCTTTAATTTTTCTTTTGAGACAGGGTCTTGCTAAGTTGCTTAGGGCCTCGCTAAGTTACTGAGACTGGTCTTGAGCTTATGAGACTCCTCCTACCTCAGCCTCCTGAGCCACTGGGATTACAGGTGTGCACCACCGTGCCCAGCTAAAATTATATTTCTTGAATCACTATTGAATTGTAAATAAGAAACAGATTCATCACTCACTTAGCATCCAGTAATACTGCGAGGCTCTGCACCGAGTGCAGGAGAAATACAATGCTTAGGAGGAAAAATACAATTTATCCTTGCTTGACCCTCTTTACTATTGTTACAGTGATCTAGTGGAATTTTCAAAAGTATAAATGATAATAACATAAATAATTGTGTGTTCATTACAACTTTGGAAATATAATATCACCAACTTTGTGCTCCTTACCCCAATTATTCTCCCCTCTTCACACTTCTTAGAAGTAAATAATAAATCAGTGTTTTCCTTTAAACTCTCATTACAAACATATTTATGTACCATTTTAAAATATGCAGATACTGTTGTAAAATACACAACATATATAACATATAAACATATATGCCTAAATAAAATATTGTATGTAGTGCCATGTTAACTTTATACAAATGGCTTGAGCAATGTTCTTCTGAAATTTGCTTTTGTTGCCCAACATTCATGTGAATTTCATCCAAGCAGAAATGTGTAGGGCTAGTTCATTTGTGTGTTTTTCACATATGACTATGCTGTAGTTCATTTAGCTATTTCCCAACTGATGGAGATTTAGGTTGTTTCAAATGTCTATTACCTATGATGCTATCCTGCAGAGTTTCAAGCACATCCTTGCAAATGCCAAGAGCTTCTCTAAAGTTCTTCCTGGGAAAAGCATTTATGGATGTTAGTGGTCATTTTATAGTGCCACAATTTTACCAACTCATCTTTTACGTTTTTATTTTACCACCTTTTAGTGATTGCTGTGGGTAAAATAATATGTCATTCCAGAGGATCAACTCTCTCTTCTTCTTCCAACCATAATAGTCAACTCTCACCCTCAACTGGAGTGACTCCTGCCTTGGTGGGGGGTCAGTGACAGGCTGACATTTAAATATGAAACCAAGTGCATCCAAGAGCCCATCAGTGTCAAACTATAGTTTTCCCAAGAGCACCATGGAAATCAGGCTACACTCACTCTTTCAACCCTAATCCTTCACAGTCCTGAAGACCCTTTCCTAAAACACAGATCTTCCTCAAAATCCTGGGAAGCTCAATGTCAAAAGCCCTTCAACTCCCTGACCTTCATCTGCCTTTCTTTCTTCAAGTTCTCTGTAAAATCGAGCACGTACATCCCCTACTCTAGCCATATACTGGGAATTATTTCTTTCATTTCAATTCTACCTGCCAAAACCTTGACCATCTTTTAACATATTGAGCAAGCAGCTCCTTCTATTTCTCCCTGACTTTCCTGATTGGAATTAACCTTTCTCTTCTTTGAATCACGTTAGGTAGAACTAAAGATAAAAAAATAACTTGAGATTTAAAAGCATGCAAAGCAAAAAAAAAAAAAAAAAAAAAAAAAAAAAACAACAACAACAACAAAAAAGCATTCATTGCAGAGTTTTTGTACTATGTCCCTCACATCCCTATAATTCTATAAAGTATTTGAAGTCATGGCCTCATATGTTGAATCTTCATCATCCTCACAATGTCCATCTAATAGACAAGTTCAAGCTTAGGGAGAAACACACTGAATAATTCTCAACACTTATCCTCTTTATATGAGCTACCATATCTACCCAAGCATATTTCAAATGTCTCACATCATCTGAAAATTTATAAAAGGAAAAAAGTAATAACTGAAGAAGGACCATATGTAAAAAGGAATTCTGTATTTTGAAAAGAATAACTTAGTGATTGATAAAACAATAGGCAAACGAAGATAGATGCAAATACACAACTGGATCTCAAAAGGCCTGAATTCTTTTAAGAAGTTAAAAAAAAAAGAAATAAGACAACCCTCAAGAAATGATGATCAGTTACCTGCATGAGCAGAGAGAGGCGAGTGTGGTCTAGGCAATGCTGGTGACTGTCCATTGCCTATCAAGCTTTTCCGGTTGCTTGTTCGGCAACTGTCAAAAAGAAAGAAAAACCAGTTTTAAGGGAGAATATAGCACTAACAATATTCAAAAGAAAAACCAGTTTTTTTTTTTTTTTTTTTTTTTTTTTTTTTTTTGGCCAAAACTTATCCTTTATTTAAGATGGAAAACAAGTACTTTCTTTTTTTTTTTTTTTTTTTTTTTTTTTTTTAATTTTTTATTGTGGGTTGTTCAAAACATTACAAATTTCTTGACATATCATATTCCACACTTTGATTCTAGTGGAAAAACCAGTTTTAAGGGAGAATATAGCACTAACAATGTTCAAGCATGTCCAAGGGAGGAACAGACTAGTTTGAACCACCTGGAATATTTGCTCATGCTATTGCTAACATTATTGCAAATTACTAAGCATCCACTAATATTCAAGGGATGGCAGTCAACTGAATATTAGAAACTGTAATGCATTCATATAGCATAATACCATCAATATTCCTCACTGCCAGTGAAGCTACAATCACATGCCTTCTTTCAGCTCCTGTCTGCAAATATGTGACATGCCATATGCACAAGTGATAAATTAAGGATTCAAATCAGCAAACCACAGGTAGCATCTTTGTTGACATGAAATTTCTAATAGAAAATTACATGCAATGAAGCGCAATGACATTAATCTTACAATGATGCACTAATTAAAAATCTAATTATTTAGACAAATTTCATATTTGTGCCTTTTGTCAATAGCACAGCCGATGCCTAAGATAAATGGTCTTCACCACTCATTCATTTTTCATCTTGCACACTGAATTCAAATTCTTCATTAAGGTACATGTTTTGGAATCACAAAACAGATTCTAGTACCTTTAAGATAATACTGATGGCCCTTTACAAGCATGCTAGCTACTGGTTGTATCTTGAATACCCAGTAAATAGAAATAAATTACTATACATGGCCACAAAGCACTTTTTCTGTTTCTGCTAGTAGAAGGTTAAAAAATGGCTAATTCAATTCCAAAGTAACTTTCTCAAGGCTCAAAGAATAGGCAAACACAAAACCATTGACAGTGAAGTGGATGTTATCCCATTTTGGATGGCTCTCCTTCAGTGCAGATGGGCACTTTGTTCTCCATCACCAGTACAGTAGTTAGAAAAAGGGGATAACCCCCCGACAAGTTACTTCCCTCACCTCCTCTGTAACAGTGTTCAGGGTGTCAAGACTCCACCATCCCCTACTGGGCTGTCCTCAACCTTCATTAACAGTTTAGTGTGATGCTATTATTACTCAGGCCAGGCCTCTGTTATGCCAGGTTCCAGAAACAGGAATGTTCCCCTGACTCCTAATAGGTACAAGAGTTGACACATTTCAGGGTTTGGATAAAATATTTAAAAGGGACATTTCTAAATATTCAAGGAATACATTTCAAACCCAAACTCAATTTCTTCTAGCAATATTGACTTGGGAGCCTGTCCTCTTTCTTAGGTGTTTGCTCCTTATTATCATTTGTCAACATTCACATTCATAATTTCTTAAGGTCAGGCTGAATTTTTTATTTTCCTGACTGTAGCAATCAACATTTTCTAGTATTATCTGAGTTTAATTATGATCATGTTTACTTAGACTTAAAGAAGTTGTTGAATAAGAATAGACCCTTGATACTTAATTATGAAGGTGGATTGTGATATTATCAACTCATCTATCAAGAACTGTATTCAACCTATTAAATTCATCCTCATTAAATCAAATAGTCTGATTGTTTTTAAAAGATACTATATAATATATTTAGTGTTAAATTAATGTCTCATTCCATTTCAGTAATGGAATACTAGACTTATTAACTAGCTGATGTTAATAAAACAAATTATAAATGACAAACTTATATCCTGGAAATCTTATCAAACTTGTTTGAGCAAATTAACTGAAAATCGGGTTAATTATATTTAAAAAGGCTATTTGTATTCTATATATTTAGTATTTTATCTATATAATTCATAAAGATTTTTCTTAACATTTAATTATTAATGTTTATACATGAAAATAAAATAAATAAGATATCTGTATCAATATCAGTAGCAATCCAATGACCATCGTATCCAGTGAAATATGACATTGCTACAGGAAAACCTTTAACAATTGAAGTTTCCGAAGAACTATTTAGAAAAACCCAGAAAGCAAAATAGCCAACAATTCAGATTCAGAAAAAATAAAAACATAAACAAAAATGTCACAATTGTACCAGTTAAAGTCTATCAAAAAAAGATGCAACTGTAATTCCAAAAATATGATCCAAAAGAATCTCAAAAATAAATGTATAAGTAAAACCTGAAGATGGGTTTTATTTAAATAATTGGAGGCATAGCTCACTGACAAATGCCATGAATAATCTGAGCACACTATACAATCAAAAGTGCCTTTGATAATCCATCAATCTTCAACATGAAGCTAGGGATGGCATTAAAATTATCACAGATGTGGAACTTTCTTAAATCTCAAAAGTCAAACAGGGAGCTATCAAACATGAAATGCCCCCCAAATAACAAAATCAGAGTTTATAGAATACAGATCAAACCTGATTTTCATGTGTACATGAAATAAATCTCTATACTTACACACGAACAGTGTGACTCCGCATCATGTACAATCATAAGAATGGGAAGTTATATTCCATGTAAATATGTCAAAATATATTAAATTAAATAAAATAAATTATATTATATAAATATTATATAAAATAAAATACATTCTTGAAAAAAAAACAAAAAAAAAAGAATAAGAAGAAATAGGGGCTGGGGTTGTGGCTTAAGTAGTAGAACGCTTGCCTCCCATGCATAAGGCACTGGGTCGATCTTTAGCATCACCTAAAAATAAAATATTGTACCCACTGGAAACTAAAAAATAAATAATAAAAAAAAGAATTAGGAGCTTGGACTCATAAAACAATTTGTTGCTAACATTCTTAGGGTAAAGGGGCAATTTATTCTGCATTTAAGCCCCAATACCTAGATCTGTATATATATTGATACTTTTTAAATTTGGGACTCTACTGAGATGTTCTATGGAATATCCAGGTGGGGGAGGGGAAGGTCTGTCTATCTCACAACTACCACTTCTAGTACTTCTGAGTATCACCTTATCTTATTGCTTTAGGTAGCTGATACCTAATAAATGAAATGCAATCTGTGTGTGTGTGGAGGGGAGTACTGGGGATTGAACCCAGGGCCTTGTGCATGCTAGAGCTACACACAGCTCTACAATCTGCATTGAATCCCAAGATAAGGAAGCTCCAGGTGGGCTGGCCCTCTGAGTATTTGCATAAATTACACAATACAGGGTACTACCTCCATTAATAATAACAAATGTAGTGTGCTTTGATTGTTCATGTCATTTTCTCATGGTGCAAAATGCTGCACTGAACTCTATGGTGATTATTTATTCATCTGGGTGTCTCATGCATTTTTCTGCCCAGGAAAGGAGAAGCTTAAGGCATTCGAGCATGAGTCAGGCTCCCCAGGTGTTCATGACCACACCTACTCATTTATCCATGAAATGATTAAAATAATGGAAGCATCATTTAGGCAAAATAAACATTTCTTCCCTTTCACCAGCATGACTAAGTCAATTCTGGCTTGCTTTTCTTGGGCAGAGTTACCTAAGGGAAAAACAGGGGATGACCTATCAGGTAAAACAAAACAATGCCACTTCTTTAGCAGAACTCTCTCGTAATTTATCCTATTTCTAACATTTGGCCTCATAAAAAGTTTTCTCCATTAGGGACATAGGTGTATGACCACAAAAACAACACTAAAGAAACCTGAGTTATGAACTCAAGTTTCAGCATTCCATCCTCAAATGCGTTCTTTCAGCCTCACCCAAGGAGAAGTAGAGTCCTTTTGCCCTGCCCATAATCCAATCTCAAAGTCAAACCAACACCCACTTTTCACAAAGTGCTTCTTCCTCTTAGTCCTCTCTACTTGAATTCACATGGAAAGACTTACTGTTCCTGTGGAGAACATGCCCAGTTTGTTCTCTGAATTTGGAAGGTGACTCTCATTGTCCTATTAACACAATAGGACACATATATATATTAACACAATGGCATGGATTCTTATAAAACCAGAGTTAGGTAGAGAAGACAGCCATATGCAACTTGAGACAAAGGTAAACAATGGATTAGGACTAGAACTGATAATCACAAGAAAGCACTTCCTACCTCATTCATCTGGTTCCTCCCTGGAAAGATGCACCCAGGGACAACTAAAAGGCACAGAAACAAGGATCCTACACAGGGCACAAGAAGTATGCCCTACCAACCATGGATTGAGGGTCTGAGAAGAATGGGAAGGTGGACAGAGGATGAGTGTTTTGGTATGAGTAGGACTGGCTGTCCCTGGAGGGTAGGGAGGAAAGCCGATGGGGCAGAACACTGTGTGTAGGAGTGTCACAGTCTGAAGGGCACTGGAGAGTGATGTGAGGCCACCACAAGGAAGTGTTGTATTTGTTTGCATGGTTTTGCTTGGGCAGGTGAGGTAAAGATTAAACAGGACACCACCCCTGCTCCTCAAGTTCACTGTCACCATCACCAAAGCAGTTGCACAATGAGCTCCTCATTCTCTTAATTACTGCAAACAGCATATTCCATTTGCTTGGAAGATGAAAAGATAGCTCATGCATTTCATCATCTAAGTCAAGCCTGACTTGGGGTGAGCACAAAGAGGAGTATGGGCTAATAAGCTGATGGACGGAAGGTTACGGAAGGAGGGTAGGAATTCTTGGTCCAAACCACCCACATTCCATTTTTGCCTAAATTGTCCTTAAGCTCAGGGCTCTATAAGAAAGGTTTGGCAGGTTCTGTTTTTGACATCTCTCACATGTCTTTTGACAAAAAGATTTAACCATTTCCTACTGACTCTCTAAAAGTTGTGAAGCTCAGCAGGATGTGGCCTTCTACAATGTACTAAGTAGCTGGAATCCCATTTAATTTTAACTGAACATTCACCTTGAGACATAAATTCTGGCATGTTGATTATGGCAAGAC